GCAGTAAAAAATATAATTTTGCAAGTTTTATATTGATTTTTTATTCAGTCAGTTAAATTCTTAAAGTAGGTAAATACTTCAGTAATATAATTTTTATCAAATAGAGGGGATCAGATTGAATTGCAAATTTCCTATTTCGCCACAGAATTTATAATTATATTATTTAATAGCTTATCCTTATAAAAACAAAAAAGAGCGCTTATTAAGAGTTAGTAAATTGTGAAAAGCCTCTTATCTCCAACTGATATTTAAATTTTTAATATATTTCTAAAAAAAATGATTAAAATTTGTGTAAAAATAATTTTTTTTTAAAAGTAAAAATTTGATTTTCAATAAATAAAGTTAATGAAAATGTGTAAGGTGAACTAGATTTATTTAACTTTCGTTTTATTATTTAAAACCACAAATCCTCGAAGGAATTTGCTTTAAAAAACATCTCTATTTAATTAAATAGTGCAGAGCAGATCCGGGTCAAAAAATGATATGAATTTATGCCGGGCCAAAATAAAAAATCAGAGCTGGTCATTATCATTACTTAACTTATAATAATATTTAGCTTAATATTACAGAGACTAGGTAATTTTTGAATTTATAAATCCAGGCCAAAATAAAAAATCTGAGCTGGCCATAATATTTTGCATAATATCAGAGAGAATAGGTATCCAATTCGTTTATTTTATAAATATTGCTTTGTTTAATTTTCACTAAACCTGGGTTCGGGATAAGTCCATAACATTATACATTATATTTATTAGTATTAATTAATAATTTAAGTTTTTATCAGGTTTAATATTAATCACAAGTACTATTTTATTTTGAAAATTTTTATTTGGAAAAATTTTACAGGAATTTTTGACGATTTTCTCAAAAAATATTTTAGGATTTTTTTCCGGGGATATTTTTTCCTTGTTAATTTTATAAAAATAATTTAATATTTTATAGGATTTAAAAAATGTGGAATTTTTTTACGATGAAATTTTTTCCGGGGAATTATTTTCTATATGAATTTTTTTCCGAGGAATTATTTTCCGGGGAATTTTTTCCCATGTAATTTTTTTCCTGGGGATTTTTTTTCCGGGGAGTATTGTTCCGGGGAATTTTTTTCCCGGGGATTTTTTTTCCAGGGAATTTATTTTCCGGGGATTTTTTTCCTGGATTTTTTTCCGGGGAATTGTTTTCCTAGATTCATTGTTATATATATCTTATGGCGGCAGCTAGGCCTTTAAGATTCATGAAATACGATTTAATTATATTTTTATATTAAAATATTATTTTTTAATTTTGGATATCAATATATGATATAATTATATTATATATTTTTAGCACATAAAAACATAATGCATATTATTACTCTTATTTTTATTTTAATGGGCCTACACATCTTAAACCACTCTATATACAATATGCAACAACAACTACTCCATCCATAATCCACAAAACTTTTTCAATAACGAAGGATATATAGTTGACAAACTATTAGCATTACTAAATTGATTCAGAGGATGCAGAATTTCCTTTCTCTCAAAAGGGATCAAAAATTAATTTCGGTTTTATTATTTCACAGTCAAATAATATACAAATCAAAAATCTGATACCTCTGATATCATTTGTCCTGTATAAAATATTTCAAAAAGGCTTGACCATGGGTTTTCAATTACTGAACTGCGAGTAATTTATTTATAATAATTTTTATTTAATATTTTTATATAAATATTTTGAACAAATCTTAAAATTGTTTTGGAATATTTAATTTAGAATTATATTACATTTTTGCAGTGTTTAATTTAGCATTTAAAATTTTTAGAGCATGGTAGAAATGTAGAGAGTGAGATTCAGGTTGAAGATAAAGGGCAAACATACAATTCATATATACAGGTAAAATAGTTCATAACCATTCCTTTTCTTATAACGATTAATATAAAACTAGCAATAGCCCGAAGGTTATGTTTTACACGGCCAACATACTTTACCAGAAATAGACACATTAACCTCTTGGAAAAAACGACTAGAACTTCCTAGTCCCAATTTAGCTAGGAAAGTACTTTGCATACCTGCTACCAGTAGACCTATAGAGAAAATATTTTATGGATTAATACTCAATGTCAAAAGAACCTCTTTATGCCCCACTAATCTACAAAATAATATATACTCACGGCAATTATAATTTTACTAAATTTGATTTCTAACAGTTATATTTCTCACTTTATATTTTGTTGCATTCCATATTTATATATAAATAAATTTGTTTTAATAAAATTCGATAAAATATTACCTGATTAAAAAGGCAATTCCCTAGACTATTTCAAAGAAGAAGAAATACATATAAACATATGGGGGTAAGACAGGAAATGATTTAAGAACTAAACTTTAATAGCAATGTTGGAACTAAAGTGCCCAAATAAATTCTAAATAATGTAATACATTGAATTATATTAAATCCATCTCTAAAAAAGGGTAAAAATATTTGCACGACTGACGTCGTCCATTTATTAGGCGGCGGCTAATTCAGTGGGGTGATGACGATCGATAAAAATATTTTTAAAACCGCCACCGATTAAGACCATGCCCACAGATCTAAACATTAAAACAAATAACAATAAAAAGGTGCTGGTTGTTGGAGATGAAAAGACACCACGTGGACGGCGGGATTCTCGACCTATAAAATATTTTATGAAATAGATATTAAGGACCCAATAATATTTTAAACATCAAATTTTCTTTGAAAATATTTATAACCCTCATAGAAACTTTTATAAATCACCGCCACTTCTGCATTATTTAAAGCATAGAGGGAAATTCCAAGTGGTGGAGATAAGTGGCTCCATTTTTGGTAGGTTTATGGTTGAATCTAGAAAGATTTTAGTTCTTCGATGTCCCATTACCAATAAAACATTTTTTATTGATTGACCGATATTTAAAAAATGTAAATCTTTAGGAACATGTTGACAATATTATTTAAATAATATGTAGGTGAATATTTTCAAATGTTGCTCGATTCAGAAATTAAACTTTAATTTAAAAATATACTATTAAAAAAACCCAAAACTAGTAAAATTAAAAAAGAGACGAATTTACAATTCCCCTAAAAAATATGTCCGGTATAATGGATAGCTTCGAAACGAGATTAAACTAATTTGAATTAATTTTAACAAAATTATTTTTAATTTGGAAATTCTTTCCAATATATTCTTTATTTAAAAACAAAATTGTTGGCGAGAAGGAAATAAAAAGAATCTGCCAGAAATTAAAATTAATTAAATACGAAACGATTGTTGAGCTTTGGCAAAATATTGATGAAGATATTCCTAATAAAAAATTTAAAAAACTTCTTACTATCATCTAGTAATTACGAGTGTGAAAGGGACTTTCATCTTATGATGACCGTGGTAGATAATTGAGCGAGTTTAGGTGTAAATAATTTGTGCATAATGTTCATCAATGTTAATCAACCATCGTTAGCAGAATGGATTCCAGATTCATATATCAAAAGGTTAAATGTTATTTTTAAAAGATACAATCCAAAGAAAAAGAAGAAATGAAAAATTTATGGAATTTTTTTAAATTAATATTTATATATTTCTTAAATTTTTAATTTGTTTTGATATCAATTGTAATAAATTAGCAAAGTAATTTTAAAAAAATATAATTAAGGAATTTATTCATATTAGTGATAAAAAAAATTCGATTTATACATATATCATATTTTTAATAATATCTATTAAAAATTGTAGCTCCCTAAATTTTTAAGATATACACCACTGGTTTAAAGTTTTTTATAATGTGATCAAATAGTTGTATTATTCTCTTTTGTAAGGTTGTCTGGATCTGGATGTGTTTCAATATCTCAATAGACTGGTATTTGAGATTAATCTTAGATAGAAGATAACCTTAAGTTGGCGCAAACAGCGGTTAACGAGCACCTGCATCTTCTTGATCTGGGAATTTGTTTAAGTCCCAAGTTTCGCTGCCATAAAGGTATAGGGAGATAATTAGCCTTAAATGTTTGTAGTCTTGATTTTTGCGAAATCTTTGCTGTTTATAATTTTTAATATTTATTGAATGTGACCTTGGCTTCGTTCTCGCCATTAATACCCCCCCCCCCCCATATTTCCTATTAGTATCCCAAGATATTTGAAGCTGGTACTATTTCTAGCACGTTGTTTTCAAAGGCTAGGTTATTGATTAATACCTCGGGGATGTCGTTGTGATCATTTTGTTGCTGATGCTTAAACCAGCTTTTTTTTATGGAAGCATAAGCAGATTAGGAAGTCTATTGTATTTGATTTAGTAATCATAACTAGTTCATCTGTATAGGAAATAATTCTTAGGTTGAGGCTGGCAGTTATTCTGCGAAGCACATCCAATAATTTTATGGTGCTAGTGGTTTTTTTAATAATTTTATTGATAATTAAATTGAAAATGATGGGAGAGTGCACGTAGTCCTGCTTGACACCCCTTTTAATTCTGAAGTAGGGTGATAGGAGCTGCCATAATTGAAGCTTAACAAAAGCATTATTATAATAATATTTGAGGATATTTATATTGTTTTGATCTATACCGTTTTCTCCAAAATATCCATGAGATAATCATACCTGATATTGTCGAAGACTTCCCTGAATTATATGAAGAATGTGAAGATGAATGGTAATTTGTATTTAAAGTATTTTAGGAGATAGACTTTTTAAGGATAAATTAACTCCATATTTTCACATAGTCTTTAGGTGCAGATATTCTATTGCAGATCCTTAGTGGAAGCAAGGATTTGCTCTTTTAAAAGCACCATAGAAACTTTCGAAACCTTGGAAGTGGGGTCAATAGCTCTGTAACAAAGGTTGAAGGGTGGGGTTTCTTAGGGAAGTTACAGATTGTCGATTTATTTCAGACGTCAGGGTCTTGCCGGTAACCTTATTCTATTAAAGGTATTTTCCCAAAGTTATATAATAATTGCCGAAAGCTTTAGTATATTACATCTATTCTTACACAACTGTTTTTCCAAATTTTTTTCTTCTCATGATAAAAATTTTTTATAGAAATGAAACGATTCACATTCAAAGGTGTGTTGGAAAATTTTAAATCTTCTTTATCACAACAACAAAAACCAATTAATGAAGTTGAGGAATTCTTAAAAAAGGAAAATTTTACCTTTTCCTATGTAAAAATTTTTTATATCCCTATAATAAATCTTTTTAAAATATATTAAAAAGTCCTTAAGATATTAATAATAATATATTTTATTATTATTAATGTTTAAATGAGTGATCTATATAACCTTAAAGTTTTCTCCTTATAAGACAATTTAATTTTGAATATTTTATAGTCTGTCTAGTTCACTTTCTTGAATTTTCATATAAAAATGTACTATTAAACCTCAAAAATATTTAAAACTCAGCAAATAATATAATATTGAATATAAATCATACAGGTGCATAGCAAGCAGTGGGGTTTCCCCCATCACAAATTTGCCTGTATTTGTAAATAACATTTTAGGCTGATAAGTAATTTCCCCCTACATCCTCCTCTCACTCTAGAATGTATACAATATATCACTATAAGAAAAATTTGAAAGAAAAATTATTAAAAGTTAATAACTTTTTAAAATAATGGCTAAAATTCAAAATTTTTAGTAAAAAGCTATACCCAAAATTATTTTTATAAAAATCTAATATAGCCAAGGGCCTACAATAAAATTTATGAGCAAAAAACCCATCAGCCATGCCACCCCCCCCTCCCCCCACCCTTAGCAAAATCCTGAATAAACCTATGATGGTATACATGATATTTTTTTCTTTTCTGAAAACTTTTTATTATGCAAGTTAGTTATACCAACCTTCCAGAGGCCATGTATTTTATTTTTAATCCATATCCAGCCTAACTCATGAAATAAAATATAATTTTATAAAATATGTAAAAATTAAGTTAAAAATAGGTATATATTATATTAAAGGATCAAGTATAAACCAAATTATCTAAATATTTATTCTTCTTGTTGTTTAACCTAGGTAAGACTAATGTACCTTCTTCACAAAAAAATCATAAATTATATTGTCACTAAAAGCTATGATTACCTATAGAAAGACTTATGTTAAATTTTGCAAGTTTTATACAATTTTATAAGTGGCTAACACAACATTTTAAAATATTAATTTAAATTTAGGATAATTTTAATTCCATATTATTTATGTCAAATTAAAATCCTATCATTTAATTTGTTTGCCCAAGTTCTTCCTGATAATTTAACCTTATCATATTTTTGAGTTTAATCCCCTATAATTGTGGTGTATGAAAATTTATATATAAAACCAAAGACTAAAATCTTTAGCATCATCTTTGGTTCTAATAAGAAAAAAATACACATTTGTTCTCAAAGTTTCAATATATGGGAACTTGTTCTTCTTTAGTCAGCCAGATCTTTGGGAAACTAAAAATTTTTTTCTACTTTTTAAAATTAGGTTTAATGCTATTTATTTTATTTTGTTTTTTTGTTGAAAACAGAATTCCCAAATTAGTATTATTTCTTTATTGATTTTTTTGATATTAATGTTAAGATTAAAAAAAAAATTTTTTAAATTAAAAAAAAATTCTAAGATCTTTTAAGGATAATAAATAGTAAAATAAAATTAGAATTGACAACTGACTTTTTAATGACATGTTTTAATAATCATATTAATTTTTATTTTAATATATTTTATATTATAAGTTAAACTTATAATAACTATAACATTATCAAAACTATTTTTAAAGTTGTTTTTTTTTCAATTTTTTAACTTGAATAAGTATTTTCAATAAATTTCAAATTATTTTTCAATTTTTCATAGATCATATCAATTATTTTTACATTAGATTATAATAATAAAATTAAAATTTTTTATCTTTATATAAGTAAAAATTGTTGATTGCTTACTATTTCTTCTTGATAATAATCTCTTTTTTGAGAAAATTCATCTTTTTTTATCAAATTTACATTGCACTTATATAACTCACTTATAAAATTTCTCAAGGGACCTTAAAACTTGAAAAGTGTGAGAAATAATATAACTGATCGAAATTTTGTAGATTATAAAATTTACAGAACCCAAATCAAAACTTGAGTGAAAGGAGAGAAAAAAAAAAGAAGGAAGTAAGAAAAAAAAGAGTGAACATGCTCAGAAAATAATTCCGGCAAAATCAAGTCTTTAAAATTTATTAATGTGCGCTATTTCTTGACACCCTTAATTCCAATATACGTCTTATATAACCACCCTGCCTCAAGGAAACGAGATCACTTTGAATTTCATGCGACACAATATTTTTGAAATTTAAACACACGAATAACTTAAATTTTTTAAAATAAGATTTTTAGACATTATGGTACAATTCTCTGTTTAATATATATAAAAAGCTTTAAAATGTTGATTTTCTTTTAACCATATTAGAATTATTATAAATAATAATTGGGTCATGATTCAATTTACAAACTTTTATAAAGTTAAAAATTTAATTATGTCACAGTTTGCTTGAATAACCCCAATTATTCTAGTAAATTACTTATTTGTTGAAATTCTTTGATGCTACTTTAATGCTCAGCTGTTTTAACTTATCTGCAAATCTGCTTTTATCCAAGGACAATGTTTTCATAACTCTTCATAAATCCCCTTATATTTCCGATATTATATAGGTATAGAAGACTTATTGAAAACCATTCAACAATACCATTATATTTTATTAAAATGTTATCATTTACACTATTTTCTCAGTTTTAGCATTTTGAATTTGTATTCACATTATAACTCAAAGTAGAAATGTGTGGCCCATCTATCCTACCCGGATCTTCCATATATTTGGAGCCAGCCTGTTCTATTAAGTATGTCAGTTCTTAACTGGTTCTTTTTTTTGGATTAACGTATTTATTTTAAATTGTTTGAAATTTAATGTGAAATTATTTCTTTACAATCACAATACAAGTTACAACATAATAAAATGTATTTTTTTAAAATAAATCCTCAGAATCACGATTTTCATTTTTTATATGTAAGCATATTATCTTCTTTTTGTAAAAAATTAAATGATTTTGTTTTTTTATGATTGATAAATCCCTGATATAATTTACATTATGTGTATAAAAGACTTAATTAATCAGAAGTAGTAGAACAATGTTTCACCGTTTTTCTGTCATAAAAATATTTGAACCCTTCATTTCAAAATCCTGTTTCATTTTATCCCCATCTTCTACATTCGAAGACTACCTGCTCTTTAAAAATAATGATAAAATATATGATTGGAATTCTTGCATAGCAAAAACTTATACGAAACCTTTTAACTACAATTTAGAGTCACCCTAGGTTGTAAAAACGGCTGCGACATAGTCCAACCACATAGCTGCCTGAATTGCAACTTATCAATCAATGCTAAGGGCAGATATGGGTTAAATTTTATTAAAATTCAGGGTTGTCAACATCGTTATTCGTCAATAAATAAACTTTTCAGCCTACTACTATAAAAGGCTCGAAATCCTCAATATCTTAGAATTTCATAACCTTCATCAAATGGCGGGTTAAAATCGGAATACCTCGCAACTATTTTATGGGTTATGAATAAATCTCCCACCTGTGACTATTTGCGTTACCATATTTCATACAAATGTTAACAGTATCACACTTAGACTACTCTAGCATAAACAAAAAAATTTAATATAAATAAATGCAAATGCCTTTGTTTGTTGAACTGTACTGGAAAAAATTAGAAGAGGGACTTAATCGATGTGGTAGATCTGATCTATTCCATTTTGTCTATTATAAACCATTTTAATTATTTGATTATTATGTTCAGTGTGATATTTATCTAATGGTTTATAGGAAAGTGAATCTTTTCTCGTGGATAGCATATTAAAATTGAGAGTAGATTAGATTTTTAAGGTATTTTTATTTAGATTTTTATCATGAAAGATAAAAATTTAGTGTTTCATCAGATGTCTGATTAAGGTATTAGAATAAAATTAAATTATTTATACTTGTTGCATTAAATTTGGTATTGTGTTGAACATATATTTTGAGTTTTTCTTATTGGGATTATAAGTAAAATGCTTTTTTTCCAAACTTTCCGTTTTCATATATTTCAAAATATAAAAAAGAAGAATCAAAAACTAAATTCCTCAAGTGGAATAAAATATACACAAAAATTTGATAAAAATTTATATGGATTGAATAATAAGGCCACTAAATATTAATAAGTCCATCCTAGGTCTAAAACCGATAGGACCGGACCCTTGATCTTCATTACTTTAAACCAGCCTGGACCGAGCTATATTTAAATTTTTCTTAAAATCTGGACCCATACCGAATCCTATTTTTAAAATTCTGAACTTGGACCCATGCCGAACTCTGCGAAAATTTCGCTAAATCAAAACCCTTGACTTCTATTGTGGAGAGGAATGGAGGTGACTCAAAATTATCATTGAAATAGGGAGTAGTTTGGATTTCCTTTTTTGCTAATTTTGATTTGATAGAAGTGGGGTAGGGGAGGGGGATAAATCGTTACTAAAATGGGTGGGTATAGAAGGCCCTTCTTAAATTAAATATAAGCATAGCCTATTCGTATCGCTAATGTGCCCGATTAATGAATCTATAAGATAAAACTATTTAATATAAATAAAATCAAAAAGTTTTCTCATTTTTATAATATTAATAAGTAAATTTAATCAATTAAATATTTTCTTTTGTTAAAAAAATCAATAATTTCCTATAATAACAAAAATTTAAAATGGTCTTCCTTATTTGCCCTCCCCCAGTCTTTCCTAACATTTTTCTACCCCTCCCCACTCCGCTTTGGCCGAATTTTAAAAAATAATATCCAGGCTAGTTGCCGTCTGTTTGAACTAATTTTAGATAAAAAAATATTTTATAACTAATTTTATACATAAAAATATAATAACTAATTTATATATTATTATTATTATTAAACTTGTAAAAGCTTATTTATTTTACATTCAAGTTTAAACGATGTTTTACAAGTAAGTGTCCAAAGGGTAATCCAGAATGTTTAACAGTGGAATAAAATATTTTTTTCCCTAACCATTTGAAAATCCTAATATAATGATTTTTTTGGTCTATAGACTCATAGCCTCACTCTGAAAAAGAAAACCAAGAGTGATTTTTTCGCCATTGTCTCGGTCTTCGG